AGGGTCACGGGTCGCGGATCACGTGTCGCTGTGATTTCAATTTCACTAAGTCGAACTCTGCTCCTGACCACCATGGTCGAGGGGGGTGTTTCTTGGGTGCACGTCGCCCAACAATCGCCTTCCTCACCTAATCCTTATCCAGGGCTCACAGCCATTTCTTGGGCCCAAGAAATGCCACGCCGACGTACCTCTTGACCTACCCCGCCGCGTAGGGTCAACCTTTGACGCGCGTTTCTTGAGTGCAAGGTCACTAAACAAATGCCTTATGGACTCGCTTTTATGCAACCCTTGCGGCAGTTTCTTGGGCGCAGGTCACCCAACAAATGCCTCAGGGCGCTCAATAAATGCCGCGCTGACGGTACACGGCAGTTTCTTGGGTGCATGTCACCCAACAAATGCCTTTGCTTAGCCTCAGGTAGCTTGACCCGGCGTCAACTGCTGGCGTTTTTTTTTTTTTAAATGCCTCAGGTCGCTCAATAAATGCCGCACTGACGGTACACGGCAGTTTCTTGGGTGTAGGTCACCCAAAAAATGCCTTTGCTGAGCCTCAGGTTGCTTGACCCGGTGTCAACTGCTGGCGGTTTTTTTGCCCAACAAATGTGCGGGTCCCTCCGGTGCGTTGTATTGAATCTGACCGCGACGTGTATTCTCAAGTTCAATGGTAGCTATTACATGTTCATCGCCTTGCGCAACACCCTGATTCTCGCCTCCAAGTTCTGGTACAAGAACGCTATGCATCCCAAAAAGATCAGCGCCTTTACGGCCTCAAACATCTTGCTCCATCCAATGCTCGTGTCCCGTCGAGATCGTTTCCAGACAAATATCTCCTCCGAGAAGTCCAAGGCGCGCGTCTGAGCTGCGAAGATGACGGATACACCGCCAATCTCGGTGGTCTACGCGAATTGTCAAATCAGCCGTGCACGTTAAAATCAGAAGACACCAACCTCAACGACTCGAACCCACTCCGACGCTCCCACACTCAAAGTCTGGAGCTTTTCGCCCGACCGGGTGTCGAAGATGTACACGCACCCATGGTCGCTACCGCTGATGACGATTGACCCTTGCTCCCTGAAACGGACCTTTCTCGTACGTCCGTACGTCCGCTCGCGGTGGATCGCGTACATCTTCGCCTTCATCTGGTCCGAGACACGGAAGAGGGTGGGACCAGATGTGGGGTTGTCGAGACAAAAAACACCATCCCTCCAGTTGAAGGCGGCGTCTCCACTGGTCAGCGGCGGTCAGCGCTTTGAGTCTGACTCTCGATTGCAAACACATACATTTTCGCTCCCACCGACCACTGTGAAGCAATTTCTCCTGTTTTACCGCGGATCGTGCAGCTGGATCGTCGAATTCAATGCTTATCTATGAAATCCGGAGCGGAGGCTTACATGGGTCCGTTGTTGTGAAGCCCAAACACCATGATATCGCGGTCTTGACTGTTGTCGAAGGCGGCAAACGTGATCGCTTGAGGCGCCAACTTTGGAAATCTCCTAGTGAAAATGTTGGTGGCTATCCACTTGCCAGTCTGAGGGTCCTTGGAAATTGCCTAGGACTGGACCACGTCCGTTCGGCTGCATAGACAGAGCCGATTGTTGGTTGAATCAAATGCCATGGCAGTTATTTCGCCGGGGTCGGTCATTTGTAGGACGAAGGTCTCTTCAAATACCTTCGACAACAAAGTTAATGACGCAGGAATGGATATACGGCAGTGCATCCTTACCCCGTCTCGTTGACGCCAACAGAAGAAATAACCGTTTTGTGTACCGGCATATAGAACGTCGTACAGCTCGTCGGCTTGATGCGCCCAAATCACGACCAGAGTGGCGCCGCGATTACTGACGGTGCTGGGACGCGCAATTGTCGACATGTCACTAATGTTCCAAAGTCGGGTCCCTTGTGAGCCTGAGCGAAAATGAGCAACTATCCACTCGATGGTGACGGACCCTTACCGCCGCTTGCGAGAATTGTGCCGTCTTCTGTAGCAGCGAGGCTAAGGACACTACCAGGGTGTTTGCTGACACCACGGTGCCAAACGTAGGGAAGACGAGAAAGAGCCATCGGGGCAGAGACGTCGGGTTGAGATGGGAGAACGGTCAAGCCTTATATCTCTCATTTAACCCCCAGGGTTGACAAAGCGACCCTCGAACAAAGCGATTTTCGAACAAAGCGACCTTGATGCGCGTAAAGCGACCTTGATGCGCGCAAAACGACCTTGATGCGCGCAAAGCGACCATTCGGACAAAGACAAAGCGACCTTGATGGGGACCCCGAACAATGAACCTTTCACGGCTCAGGTCCTTATATGCGCATCTCGCCTCCAGCTTTCGGTGTTGTCTCTGCCTCGTCTCCTCATGACGGACCAGTTCACCAGCATTCCTACGAAATATGTCGTCCGCCCGCCACTCTCTGCGCCGTGCCCGGTTATGCTGCCGGTGTTGTTGACCAACATCATTCCTGAGCAGTTTCCATTCCCGCGCATTTTTTCCGACATTGATACCAGTCGCACACCTACTCCTCCTCCCGCTCCTCACCGCGCATCTACTCCTCCTCCCGCCCATCACCGCGCACTTACACCTTCCCCGCGTCGCGCACCTACACCTGCCCCACGTCGCGCACCTACACCTGCCCCCTCACGTCGCACACCTACACCTGCCCCCTCACGTAGCGCACCTACACCCGACTCCCGAGAGACTTCGCTGACGCCACTGGATGAGGACGATGACTCCGACTCGTCTTTCATGGCAAATAAATCGACTTTGATGGCAAAGCCCTTGGCCGCTAACATCCAAACTGTAAAGTCGTTGTTCAAGGACCTTTATCCCGACCGGACCAAGCAGGAGCAGGAAAACGAATATACAGCGTTCAGGGTGAGCGTTTTTTTCGCATTTGATTGACGTCGGCCTCATGGTTCTCGCCAGGACCGCGTTGATGTTCTCTGCGGCCGGTACTTACGTGCGTCGCTGGCGCTATCCCATCAGGATAAGGACGAGGTCAACAAGGTCTACACAAAGGTGTGATTCCATATAATCCATTCATTCTGGTTTAGCTGAACTGACTGACTTCCAGATGACCAAAACCTTCCCGTGGATCGCTCACTACGAGAACCACTGGCCCGTGGCGGTGTGTTTGCAGGGCAAACTCCACAACTCAGCTGTGCGCTCCGTTGAGAAGTCAACCCGGAAAGTCGTCAGCACGCTCGCAGGGCTAGCTCCTGGATCCAAGCAATTGCAAAGAACGACGCGCAAGACGACAACCTCCACATAATTTCAGTTTATTGCAGTACAACCTCCACACAATATTAGTTCATTGCCTACACTACATCTGGCCCCTAATACCATTTTTCTTCTTCTTGCTCCAAGATCACGTGCGTCCAAATCGGGTCCTCGGCGCTAGGTCCGGCCTTCGTTTGACAGTTGTGGCGGTGAAGACCAATCAGAATCCGCGCGAAGAGCATGTACCCGACTTCGATGCCCACCAAGTGTAAATTGCTGGGTGGGCGTTGATGAGCGCAATCCCGGGACAGTCTGCCCAGAAGCGTCGGGGGACGTGCCCCGGGCGCGTCTCGGGATGTGTCCGCGGGTGGGGGCGCGGCTGGGAACGTGTCTGCAGGCGGGAATGTCCCCGGACTGTCCCCAGAAACGTTGGGGGACGTGCCCCGGAGCAGGGGCGCGTTTGGGGACGCATCTCGGAGCGGGGGCGCCTCTTGAGACGCGTCTCGGGGCGGGGGCGCAGCTGGGGACGTGTCCGCAGGCGGAGCGCTCCTCTGCCTCCCTCCAACTCGCCCTCTTCACACTTGATTGCAGGTAGTGGTGAATATATTCAATTTCCCATCATCCTCTAAACCAGGCAGCGCAGCCACACCCTCCCCCATATAAGTCCAGTTCTTTCGATGACATCAAAGTTTCTTCCTGCCTCTTACCATCATCATCTCACCAGCAGCGCAGCCACACCCTCAAACCATCCTCCTTTCTTACACTCATCCTTCTCTCTGTACCACTATGAACGCCGCCATCGTCCCTCGGCCGAATCTACCCAGGGTCAACCGGGCAGTGCTCAGAGCGCTACTCAGTGCTCACCCCTCCCTCACATGTTCGTCGTCTCCCCCCCGCTGTTTCAACGCCTTACATTGCCTCAGTCGCGTCCTTCGCTGCCCATTCGAGCAAGTGCTCGCCCTCCTTCAGCTGGGTCCCGCCGACGCCTACCAGAACGAAGGCCCGGGGGTCTTGTACCTCCAAACTCAACCGGGCCCCAATGGAACCGAGTTCAAACTCGGCCATACCAATAACCTCGATCGTCGTCTCGCGCAGTACCGAGTCTGTGGCAACACCATCTTGACGTCGGCGTATTTCCCCACCCCCAACCGCATGATCGCCGGTGAGCCTCAACTGATTTTCGTTTCTTTTCCCCCCGCGGCTGACCTCTTCCAGAGCGGGTAATCTTCCTGCTCTTCCACATGCTCGGCGCAAAGCCCCTTGTCGACCATGCCCCGGGTGCGACGTTTGTCACTGGGAGTTCTTCAATCTCAACGCGGCAGGAGGATGGGCTTTGGTTTTGGCTGTTGTTCAATTGGGGATCGTTATTACTGGTGGGGTCTTCCTAATGTGAGTCCTTCTGTCTCCCTGAATTCGCCTCCTTCTTATCTTTTCCTCAGGGTCTTTATATAAATAGTTATCATGTACCTGCTGTGGTTATAATCTGTAACGGCGAGCCGTGCCTGCATAGCCTGCATCCGCAGGGTACGTCCCTTCTGTGTAAAAAAAAAAGGAATCTGTTTCCCTTACTGACGCACTCTACAGTCTACGACGGCACTTGCCACAATCCGATTATCCGTGCATTCTCGTGGCGCGGGTAAGTCCCCTTTGAAAATCCTATGCGTCTGGTGTCTCACCTTTTTACAGCCCTCCCTCGGTGCGCCCCCACTCCTGCCAAATGCTCATTAGCTTCACAGATCTGCGCAGCTACCAACTCCTATACCTGATTCCAATTCAAGCTTAATCAACGGATTGGTAGTCTAATGGTAAAGTGTCTTAACTTGTATTCTCTTGCTTCGCTACAATTCCCCAGAAATTCCCCGTTCGATTCGGGGCCAATCCATTTTTTTTAATTGATTAAATCAACTTGCTCACGTGGTCGCGTTATGACCAAAAAATTTCTCCCTATGCCGTATTCTACACAATCATGTAAAGTAACCAGGTAGATACTTCAATTAATTCAATTCAATGAACAATTTCTGTATCGAGTCCAAGTTGTAGGCGCTGATCCTGAGAAGCAGATCCGTTTCACCGCCACCTGTCTCGATTCTGTGTGAGGAAAAAAATTGAAGTGCGATGGAAAACAAAAAAGAAAACAAAGATGATGATATAATTGATTGCGCTACAGTAATGGAAGTAAAAATGGTGCTTTGTCCTTTGTTCTGTCATTCCACGAGGCCCTCCCCAACCGTTGGTCCTTTATTTTGCACGAGGCACCCCCAACCGTTGGTCCTTTTTGCTGCCCTGATCCCATTAGTATTCCGTTCGTCGCACGAGGCACCGTTGGTCCTTTTGCTACCTTTTGCTACCCTGATCCCATTATTCCGTTCATCGCACGAGGCACCCTCGTGCCTTGACCTTATTATTCCTACCCTATTCCATTGTTTTCTTTATTCCGCGCCACTCACGACACATATAAGGTGCACCCTCGCATGCGGCTCATTTCGCGTTTTGCATGCTCGTACCATCTGTCCATCTGTCCCGAGGTGTAGATCGCCTCGCTACGGATTCCCTCTTGACTCAGCAAGAATCTACAACAATGACCGATATGCCAGGGGGCCTCGATGGCAGCAATGTCTGGGTGACCGACGTCAACATGCATGGCGGCGGCACCGATCCCTGGAACAACCCTAGCACCGGTCCTAGCGCCGGGCCTAGCGCCGGGCCCGAGATCAACATGGACGGTGACGGCGGCGGACATAGCATGGATACCGTCAGCATCTGGGCCGCCGAGGAGAGACCCGAACGCCCTAAAGAGGTTCGTCGTTGAACTCATGAGCTTGTTTTGTAGTGTTCTAAGGACAAACCTTTTCTCAGACTCAGGCGAAAAGGGTGGCGGTGGCGAACCCTGCAAGACAAGAAGCGGAAGACGTGGATCTGTTCACTTTACATTCGACCATAATCTGACATTGGTACAGGCACGTGAATGGGCCGACCTTGCGACACAGAAAGCCAGAGCGGCTGTGCGGGAGAAACGAGAGGCGGAAAGCAGATTGCAGCAAGCACAGCAATATATCGCTGGATTGGAGAACGAGCGGAAGCAAAGGGTATGGATCTTTGTTCGTTCTCTGGCTGACCGACTGATCCCCTTCAGGAGCAACAATTGCAGATCGAGCGGCAGGAAAGGGTACCGATCTTCATTCGTTCTCTGGCTGACCGACTGACTCTCTTCAGGACCAACAATTGCGAAATCATTGGGTGGGGGAGTGGAACAAGTTCTCGGGGGAGCTCGAACAACGGTTCCAACAACAGCTCGAGGACCAGCAGGCAGATAATGTCCGGCAGCTGAAGCAGCAAATGGACAACGAACTGGTAAGTGGGTGTACAGTCGCTGTCAAGGAGAGAGAACTAAATGATTTTAGGCTAAGCATGAAGCGGAGCACCAGAAACAGATGGCGGATATGGTGAGTGGCAATCCCATACTGTACATGTTATTAAAAGGACGGTGTTGAAAATGAACTTCTAGGAAGCCAAGAATCGGCAGGATCAAGAAACGGCTCGCGCTGAGCAAGAGAAGAAACAGGTAGATTCCTGCGTCTTCAATCGAAACACATATTTACCGGTGCACCAGGCGGAGCAGGAGACAAAGATGGCCGCGTTCCATGCACGCTTTAGCACCCAGAGACGCAGCGCCCATGATCCACAGAATGGAATGAATGGTGGCCATTTCCCAGACACGCCCCCGGTGCGGACACCAGAGTTCGTCCCACCCGTGACTCGGGAGGAGCGCCGAGTGGAGGCGGTCATACGTCAAGGACCTGTCTCGCGCTTCCCGGAGATCTCCATAACTGCACCAACGCAGCCAGAACCCTCGGCGGCAACGCCCGTGACTCCCGAGCAGAACACCCCACGGGTCCCGCAGCTACTGGACCTGAGCGACCCCCTTGCAGTACAGCAACTGCAAGTATTGCTCGGTCAAGCGAGCCCGAAAAAAAGCCCCCGCAAGAAAAGGAAGGTTAAGGTTGGGAAGACGGCTGCTTTGACTCAAGCCCGAAGGGGACAACAGCAGCAGCTGGACCCGCAAGATGATAACAGGTGGAAGGTTGGTCTACTTCGAGCTCGAGCACTTCCGAAGTAAAGATCCTGAATTTTACGCCAGATGATTGTTCGCGAACACTGGCGCCTCATGATGGGACTGAACCGTGCCAAAGACTTCTTCGATTACGAGCCGGTGAGCGAAGCGACGGCGCAACGCTGCGAAGACGGCGACACGCAGCCCGAGGCGGGCTTGTATCAGGTCTATTTCGGAGAGGGGTGGGCGAACTCCCTGTGGAACGCAACAATCTTCGAGAAATGCGTAGAGGAGGTGCTTAAAAAGCGAGCCGAAGATCCTGGAAAGTACGATGTCCCCGATGTTACAAAGGAGTACATCCTGGCGCTGTTTGCTGGCCTTCTTGCAGATGCGCGGGGCGAGTGGAGCCGCTGGCAGCCGCGAGCAGGAGAAACATCTGAAGCAGCGCGTGCGCGTGCAGAGGCGTACGATGCGGAGCGTCGGGTCAAAAGCGTCGGGAGCTCGCGCAAGAGAAACATAAGTGGCGGTTCTGAATGTACTTGTAGTGCCGTGCCAGGGTGCTAATTACTTGGCAGAAATACAAGGCGCTGCAAGACGGCGGAGAGGATGATCAAGATCTCCTTGGCAAAGGGCGACGAAAGCAGCGTGAACGCTTGGAAATGGCTGAGGGATGAGCTTCTCGAGGCGTTGGATATCGGGGGGATGTCATCTGAGGAGGACGAGCCTATAGAGGTGCAGTGTGGAGATACGCGGCAGGTAACGATGGCGCACAGTATCAAGATATGCCCGTGGCGCCTGCAGAAGATCACCGACCAACTCGAGATGATTGACAAAGCGTCGGAGAATACCCTAGTGACGAAAGGCTTCAAGCGTTTCCGGACGCGGACGGGCCAGAAGCGGTTGACGACTGACCCCCCTCTTAGACTCCCCCGCGGGCTGTATGAGCCGGCCTGGCTTTCGCAGCAGAAGGCGCTTATTCCAGAGATCGAGGAGTGGCTGGAAATCTCGGACAAGGAGCTCACGCTGATGGAGATTTCGCTGGCCAACTCGAATTAATTAGAGCGTTTTGCGAATTGATATGTAACTATTGAACTTGAGAATACACGTCACGGTCAGATTCAATACAACGTACCAGAGGGACCCGCGCATTTGTTGGGCAAGGAACCGCCAGCAGTTGACGCCGGGTCAAGCTACCTGAGGCTAAGCAAAGGCATTTGTTGGGTGACATGCACCCAAGAAACTGCCGTGTACCGTCAGCGCGGCATTTATTGAGCGCCCTGAGGCATTTGTTGGGTGACCTGCGCCCAAGAAACTGCCGCAAGGGTTGCATAAAAGCGAGTCCATAAGGCATTTGTTTAGTGACCTTGCACTCAAGAAACGCGCGTCAAAGGTTAACCCTACGCGGCGGGGTAGGTCAAGAGGTACGTCGGCGTGGCATTTCTTGGGCCCAAGAAACGGCTGTGAGCCCTGGATAAGGATTAGGTGAGGAAGGCGATTGTTGGGCGACGTGCACCCAAGAAACGCCCCCCTCAACCATGGTGGTCAGGAGCAGAGTTCGACTTAGCGAAATTGAAATCACAGCGACACGTGATCCGCGACCCGTGACCCTGATCAGTCCCAATTCACCAAGTTGACCACCACCACCCTCTGCGCTCGGTGTAAATCACTGAGCGCAGGAGGCAGCCAACCTCCCCTCAGTGTAAATCACTGAGCGGACGCACACGTTTCCCCTCAGTGTAGATCGCTGAGCGGACGCACGGTTCTCTCAGCATCGCCGAGCGCATGCGCCGCCCAGAAATTCGCGGCCAGAAATTCGCGGCCAATATCTTCTGGAGCGCATACCTCCGTGCAAATCAAGGTAAGCACATTGGCCAGTGCTCGCTGTCAACTGCCTGTACCTTCAAGACCACTGCGGATATCCCCTTGTCCAGATATAGAAGAAGGGATCTCGTCTCATAAAAGCTGCATCCGCCAACCGAATCCCCTACCTCTTGTGCCCGACGCAATAGGTGTAAATCACCTACTGCCCTCGCGTCTCGCGACTTGGTGTATAATCGCCGACTGTGCGTGAAGATCCCCGACCCTTCTTCTGCCAAGGAACCCCATGTCCCGCGCCAGGGGACGTGCAATGGGCTGGCTTTGCAGCTGCCCCCTCCGCAAACACACTCATAGAGTCCAAGACGAGGATGCACACCGTCAAGAACTCACCACTTTTGTACGTCTTTTCATTTTGAGCTCAAACCTCTAACTGATGAGTCAACAAAGAACAGGAACAGAGATCTTTCGAATGCGGCCCAGAGCTCAGACACAGCTGTGGTATGTCCTTTTCAATATGCTCTTCACGACATGTACCTGACTCGAGTCTATAGAGCGAAGTCGCCGAAAGGGTAGCGCGTCTCGCCCTTGACCCTCTTGCGGCTCAACCCGGGATCTCGGGTACCCCGAGCGTATTCCCTCCCCCGAATCCATGCCAAGCTTCCGCTCCGCACATCATTGTCGCTGAGGCAGAGAAGAGCGTGAGGGCAGTGCTTTCTGAAGCACCCCACGTTCGTACGAAACAGTCCACCCGGCAGGAACAATCTACGGCAGTGCTGGACGCCCTGTCATTGAAAATCCGCACCGCAATCGCAAGCCTTCATAGCGCTAACCGTACGTCAGAGGCGCCAGACTCGCTGTGGGAGAAGGTGGATCATGCGAAGCGTGAGCTTGCAACTGTTGCCAGCTCCTTGAAACCTTTCAAGGACACCCCGGAGAAAACAAGCATCCTTGATGAGATGCGCGAGCTCGAACGCCAATTGAAGGAATTTACAATCACGCTTCCGAAAGATACG